TCTACTATCTTAACGACCGTAGGTAATAATTACATTGTTGCGAGCCAGGGCGATAGCGACGCGCGTGTGAGCCCTGCAAGTGACGCGAAGTCAGATAGCTGCTGGGAATTGGTATCTCCCGGTAAAGGGTAACCGTTGGGAAGGTTAGGTAAGGATTGAATCGTATCGTTGGAATATAATACGCGTCGTGGATAAAGCCTCGCAACTATTAATTCTAAACAAATAATAACTCGATCGGTAAAGTTATTATGTTGTGGGGTCGTTACACTGGTTGGGATTGCTTATTGCAATGGGGAAGGTTTAATAATGCTTTAACAGACTTTTTAAGGTTAACAAATGATTATATATTCAAAACTGAATAATTCTAATAATACAATTGTACAGTGTCGTGTTGTCGCGGTTAGTGTATGAATTTAAATACCTAATTGTTGCACGGTGTTAATGCACTGGCGATGCGGGAGTCGAGAATGCTTCTATGCCGTAATAGATTTTGTACCGTCCTCGCGGATCTATATGGTTAATGTTGATCGAAAGGGATCTGAAGCCCTATCTCACTGAAGCGCAACTCTGAAGACGATCGACGTGACTTTACCAAATAACTCTTTCGTACTAATCCCCCGAGTAACGAAAATCATGGGTTTATATACCCCTAGATATTGGTGTAGATACGTCAGTGATTCCCATATATGGAAATTTGGCGGTTGAGATTTTCGTTACTCAGAGGTGAACATCTGTGGGGCTTTAAGGAATGTTTAGATAAAGGGTTACCCACGCAACGCGAGTTATAAGATGATTCTGAGAAAAGTATGGTACATCTGCAGGGTGCACTTCGGTAAGACCAGACTCCACATTACAAGGGAAAGATAAAAGAAATGAACGCGAGCTTCGAAAAGATCGGGTGTGCATACGTAACAACATCCTACCTTACCGACCCTAGGTAATAATTACCCCCCCCCCACTCGTGCCCACCCCTCGCCCCCACGCCCTCGGTTACCCCCTCCCCCGCTCCCCCCTCGGAGCTCGTTAGTTAGAACCGACCTAGCTATACTACTTAACACGGTGTTTCTGCTGCACTTTTCTTTCTCCGCGCTACAGTGACGATTGTGCGGGAGTGAAACCGTGGTTTTTTATTACGTATACACGTGTCGTGTATTTTATAAGGTGCCGTTTCTTAACCGAAGACTAGTGCGAAACGACGGTTGCGATGACCTCATGCCCAGCTGTTCTAAAGCATCGATAGTATCGCTCGGCTATAGCCGATACGGTGATTCTAACGATCGCCGTGTTAAGTTCTTTTCTTTAATCTCGCACCTAGGAATCGAAACAAAGACTCGTTACCACACGTTTCGTGTCCGTTACATTATTCTTAAAATAAGCGTTTAGTATCTCTAGATTTTAGTTGTACAGTCTCTATTTTTAAGCAAGCGGTGGACAATTAGATCGCGAATAGCGAAACATCAGCTTACATATTTGTTCGCGTTTCTCCGATCATTTTCCCGGCAAGTGAACGTTAAAACTTTCGTTTCTCGCAACGCCGCGACATCTTGCCATACCATGTGTTCCTGATACGGCCACGGTACGGCCACGGCTTATTCACTATCAAAGCACGAAAGTACAACCGTTCTCCTAGATGTTAAGTCCCAGCTACATGTCCCGTACGATTCTCGGTACTCGTTATCACCCACCGGTGGGTGGCCAGGTTTAATAAGACCCTGCACGTGTTCGCCGAATTTAAGCGTAACGCTAGCAAAGGAACTGCCGACAGTGGCTATCGTTGGTATCAGTCACCCGACTCCGATAAGGCGAAGCCTAAACATCTAGGAATGATTTCGGCCAAGATGTTATTGCTAACGCCATGGGAAGAAATCAATCACCACCCATGGAATTTTTAATAATCACGTGGTATGATTTTTTCCTCCTACATTCGGAATTAGGGGTATAATATAAATACACCCGCAATTCAAGAGCTCGGGATAGTTGTTGTCCGGAATTGTTAAAAAATTAAAGTTAGTCGTCAGTCGTCGGTATTACCGTAGTTGCAAGTTGCGAGTTGTCTGTACGCAGAGTAATTGTTAGTCGGAGTTGTAGCTCTGTTCAAGCATGAACATTAGCATCAACATCAGTATCAACATCAGCAGTAGCATCAGCACCAACATCAGCACCGAGACCGTGGAAGCTTATACTTATCACTACGCACATTCCATCGTTCAAGCTCAGCAAGTAGTAAGTCCGAAGATTTAAAATACTAATAAATAGTAATCGCGAGAGTAGACTCAATCAGGATCAGGATCCCGTCCAGATGCGAGTCGTTTAAGAGAGGCGTGGGACGAAAAGCAGGCATCATTTGAACGAAATGAACGATGGATTTTCAAATTGGAATCCGAGACGTGACAGTTCATCTTCCATCTTACCGAGAAGCTGGATAACGCCACTCGACTGACTTCGGAGCTTGCCTTGCCTAATCCCACGGAAGTTCCAAAGTTCTCCCACCTGGAAGAATGTTTGAAGAATCGGATTCACGGCTTAACTGCCGGTCAGAAGCTCGAAGCGCTTACCTCTTCCAGGGGCAAGGAGTCTTTCAGCTAACCATCTTCCTCTGCGTCATCGCCTCCTCGTTCGATCTTGGCAGTGAAGATTTCCGAGAATCCTACAAAAGATAAGTACAACCGTCAGTGCCCGTATTGTAAACTCGCTCATACTCTTACGCATTGTCCTAAATTCAAAAAACTTCCTGCCGTCGAATGAAAGTTGCTAGCGTCTAGGTTGAAAATCTGTCTGTGTTGCTTATATTTAGGACATAACACTTCAGATTGCCCGTCTGTTCATCGTTGTCTCGTTTGGAGCTCCAAACACCACACGACGCTTCATGATGCCATGAAGGGGACTGCTACTCACGATCGAGATTCTATCTTCACTGCTTCTCCTACGGCTAACTCGTCTTCTGCCAGCGCCTCCTATTCGGTTTGCGTCAATCGAGTAGTCCTTCTTGCAACGGCTCAGTTTCGTTTGGAATCCTTTAGTGGAAGATCTCTCCAGGTAAGAGCTCTTATTCATCTCTCTTTGTTCTCTTCATTTATCTCAGAGCGAGCTGCCCAATATTTTCGCCTAAAGCGTCGCTCGGTGCATATACCACTTACAAGACTATCAGGGTGTTCTAGTCGGGGTCGCTAAAAACGAAGTTCGAGTTTTTTTTAAGTCAGAGCGTGAGCCCTCTTTTCAGGTCGCCCTTGATGCTCTCATTTCTAGAAGTCTGATTGCTCCGACTCCACTTGAAGCTCTCTGGCATCCTCGTGTCCCGTCCAAGACGTAAGACCCCTACGAAAGGGGCCCCACCCGGAACGGGCCAGGATGACGCCTACTCCCAGTAAAAGAGAGCCGTCAGAGGTGCGTTCCGGCACACTTCGGCTCTCTCCGCCACACCCCCCTTTCCCGCGACAAATTGTTGGGGAGGCCGGCACTTTAATCCGAAGGGATAAGCGGGCGCCGGACCACCCCGAGGGAAGCGTAGCTCGAGCGCTCGAGACCATGTGGTCGACCTTAGTCTCGAGCGAGAGATCCCACCCTCCCACTGGGGTTCGGAGGACACGACGCTGCTCTGCCCATGCCGGGCACTCCTCGAGCGTATGTTGCGCCGTATCCACGTCTTCGCCGCAGTGGTGACACTGCGCGGTTGGCTCCCGCCTCATTCTATGCAGGTTCTCACCAAAACACCCATGACCGGTGAGCACCTGCGTGAGGCGGAAGGTCAGCCGATCTGCACACTGAACCACGTATCAAATACGGGCAGGATGGCCCGGACGATTGAACGTCCCGATGAAGCAACAATCAACCACTGCTTCCACCGGGCCAAAGTGTTCGTTCGGACCTGACACTTTCTTCAATTTCTTCGACCTCCTCGGCCTCCTCGCTGCTGAGATCGACCCTCGGCGATCGGCGGGCGACGCAAGCTGTATGATACAGCCACGCCTGTTCCGTCGCCACCATGTCAAGTGGGACGATCACGGCTAGAAGGCCAGCGACCTCCCCGGAAACAATGCGGTAACCCCGGAAGGCCCGCAAGGGCATCCGGTGCTGTACTCGCTCAAAAAGAGCGAGACCGCGCCGCCCGTCACCGAGCGAGCGGAACTAGACGGGGACTCCGTACACGGATATAGACCGTACAACTCCCGTGTAGAGGCGACACACCTTCACGTTTTATCCCCCCCCCCCCATATTCGGCAGCAGCTACCCTAGAGCAGCCGCTGTCTTCTCTACTCGTGGGGCAAGGAGGTCAAAGTGATCTTCTAAGTGCCAGCGGCCGTCGATCGTCAGACTCAAGTAACGCATACTAGGCCCAACGTCGACGTAGGCTTCACCGACCCGGATCCGAAGATGACTCTCGGGTGGCGGCGACAGTCGGCTCCGAGGCGACCCATACATACCCATATCGCCTCGGTCTTCGCGACCGCCACCACCAACCCCATCTGTCGGATCCGACCAACCACGCAGTCCAGGGCGTTCTCCGCGAGTGCCCTGGTCCTCCACCAGTTGTCCCCCTCCGCATAAAGCAGATTGTCATCCGCATAGCAAATGACACCCGTATCGGGGGGAAGAACAGCCCGCAACACCACGGCATACGCTAGGTCCCACAGTAGAGGTCCGAGGACCGACCCCTGTGAAACCCCGCGGTGCGTCTCCCTCCTCATTTTTTTTTTTTTTTTACGTGAGAAAATGCGTTTACGCACGCCCCCTCATAAGGAGGGGGTAGTGTGGGACTCGCCCCTTGATTTGATATCAAGGGGAATACCCACTAAAACCTCACGGTGGCCGGCCACGGTGCATTGGGGAGGGGCACCGGGATCTCTTACGAACGCTACCGGTGTCCTCCCGCGCCTCCCCCAACGAAGGGAGGAGCGCTATCTCCGGTGGGGAGTGACTACCTCCCCACCTGACCGCGGGTGCCACAGCCCGCGGTCTCGCCTGTCCCTTTTAGCCTCCCATGTCCGGCGGCCCTTCTGGCAGCCGGCGAGCTCAAGCTTTGGGCTCGCCGGCTACGTGTGCAGGGCCGCCCTACGCGGCAGACTGCCAGGAGGAGGTGAGGGTTTACGGGGGGGAGGACCAGTCCTCTCTGCGGCAGGGGCGGCAGCTAGCCGCCGTCGCCTGGGCCGCCTCAACCTCCTCCTCTCTATGCGAGCGGGATCGGTGCGCTCCCGATCCCGCTCGTCATCCTCCTTCCACGAGACAGTAGTCTCGCAGAAGGAGGACACCGCGTTCCAGAACCTCTCGCTCTCGACCATGGCCGGAACGACGGCCGGGAGCGAGGGGTCCCCTCCAATAGCTAGGCAGAGTGCCCGCCTCTCTCGCGAGAAGGCCGGGCACTCCTCCAGCAAGTGCTGCGCGTAGTCCAGCTCCGCGCCGCACTGGTGGCACGCGGGCGATCCCTCCGCCCCCACCTTGTGCAGGTACTCACCGAAACAACCATGACCGGTGAGCACCTGCGTGAGCCGGTAGGTGAGCTGCCCGTGTCGGCGGTCCAACCAGGCATCGAAGATAGGCTCCAATAGGCATCAAGACTAATCGCCAACGCCACTCCACTCCGGGAGACCGCACGGTCCGCGAGGGCATGGACGTGGTCGATCGCATCAAGCGTCGACCGGCCCTCGCGGAAACCGTATTGGCAGCCAGCCAACTGCATACTCCCGTCGGACAGGCCCCTCGACAGGCGGGCAGCGAGCACACGCTCGAAGAGCTTGCCCGCCTCGTCGAGGAGGCAAATCGGCCGATACGCGGAGGGCGAATCCGCGGGCTTTCCCTTTTTCGGGGTAAGGACCATCCGGGCCTGCTTCCAGGCCAGCGGAACCCGCCCCGTCTCTAGGCAGCCGTCGAACAGCCGCCTGAGCCGGGGACCCAGGACGCGCAGCGCCAAAGCGAGCGCCCGCCCAGGGATGCCGTCGGGCCCTGGTGCAGTATTCCTGGCCACCATTCGCCCGACGGCCATCCCGAGCTCCCCCTCGGTGACCCCCAGGCCGGCGGACCAGTTACTGGCCTCCGCCGGATGTCTCCCTCCTCATACGATTACCGGACCGGACAATGAACTCGACCTCCCTGTCGTAATGGTAGCCCCGAATCACCTCGCGGAGATAGAGGGGCTCCTCAAAATATTCGAGCGCCCTTACTATCCAAGGCAAGGAGTTGAAAGCGTTAGAAATGTCCAACGACACCGCAATCAACACCCTGCCCGCAGCGACAGCTCCCTTGCGGAGGAGGCGCAGACGCTCAAGGGCACTTATTCTAGAGCGCCCCCTCTGGAATCCAAACTGGCCGTCGCTGAGATCAGGACCACCCCGAGACAGGTGCCCAATGAGGCGGGCGGCAATTATTCTTTCGAACAACATACCCGCCTCATCGAGCAGACACACCGGCCGGTAGGCAGAGGGAGACTCCGCGGGATTACCCTTCTTACGGAGGAGGACCAGACTCGCCTTTTTCCACACCTTGGAGAAGGTTCCCCGGGACATGTGGGCATTTAGCACCTCCATATACGCCGGGGCGAGTACCTCGTCCAGGGCCAATCCCATAATTTTTCCAGGTACTCCATCTGGACCAGGCGCTTTGGCGCTTTTGTCCTGGAGCGCCCGGATAGCGCCCGGATAGCTCTCCATAGCTGACCCGGAGCTCCTCCGACCATTCAATGGTCGGAGCCGGTGGACGTGTCGTCTCCGCCCACCCTGAATCATCAGGGAGGAATGAAGTGGAGATGACACGTCCCAAGAGCTCCAGGTCTAGCTGCTCAGTTATAGGGGGCGCCCAAGGTCGAAGCTTATTAAGCATGACCCTATAAGGGCGCCCCCACGGATCCTTCGTCACAGTTGATAGGAAAGCGTCCCAGGCTACGGCCTTGGCCAAGGCAATACCTCGCTTGAGGGTCTCCACCGCCGACCTGTACAGCTCGTACAGGTCGGCGACCATCGGTTCCTGGTCGCCACCATGAAAATGGCGGCGACGAGCACCGGTGTACTGGCGTCGGGCACGGCCGGCCTCCCTATGGAGCTCGGTCAGCTCGCCCGACTACCAGCACACACTCATTTTCTGGGGCCGATTCCGGATCCGGGGCATCGCCACATCGCAAATCATTTGCAACTTGCTCCGGATCCATTTGACCCCCTCTTCCCCCCGCCCCTGGCCCTTGGCCAGGCAGTACCAATAATAACGGCCCTCAATTGGCGCCCTCAAACGGACCTCATTGGCGTGTCGAATGGCGGTTTCGGGACCACCGCCACATCTGTCAGGATGTAGCAGTGGACGGAGAGGGTTTCCCCTCCCCACAACCGTTAATTAGACATCCAGCGCAAAACGGCCGGGGTGGCCAACGTTACATCCACGATTGACCACCCGTTCCACCTCACGCATGTTGGAACGGACCCCCGGTTCAACACCAGTAATTCGTGCCCCTCCAGCCAAATTTCTAGGGCTCCGCCGCGAAAGCCGGTTTTGGGGTTCCCCTAATTCGTGAATCGGGCATTGAGATCGCCCAGAACCAGCACCGGACCGGCTAAATGCGGAGCTATTATAGCACCCGGCCGGTCCAAATACCTCTCGAATTCGGCGGAGCCACTACTTGGTGCACAGTAGCACCCAACGACCAAAAACCTTCCCCATCTTACCAAGATCATACCCCTGCCCTGTTCGACCACGGAACAGGGGGGCATACCACGATCCACTCGGCACCACATTGCCACGGAGCCCGCCTCGTCCCCGAACCAATGTGGATGGTCAAGGACTCGATAGGGCTCCGCGGCCACCGCCATGCCAACCTGCCACTCTGCCAGTCATTGGTCCTGCGCCCGGCGGCAGTTGTTAAGGTTGGCCTGCAGTACTATTAGGGAATACTTGGTAGGCGTGAATGCGCCTACTTAAGTCCCCCCTCCCCCTACCCCGCCATGAGGCCTGTCTTGGTGTTACAGCCGGGCTGGCCTCTACCTCCATACTGACAGGAATGAGGACTGGCGGGGCAGATACAGCTGCCTCATCTACCCTCTCCTTAGTCTTAGTGGGCGGGACCACACCACCCGCCTCCACAAGACCTTTCTTCTTGGGCGATGGGGAGCACACCTTGCTCCCTGCCTTATGGTTCAAGGTTCTCCAAAGCGAAGCGCAAACCGCGCAGTTGGGGGCCCTCGAACAATTAGCCGCTTTGTGGGTGGGGTCCCCACAGCGGTAGCACTGGCCGCTTCTATCGACCGCCTGGTCCCCCGTGTGGAAAGGACAGCGGCCGCACTTGGCCGCCTCCTGACCAACATCGGTGGGCCTGGGGATCGGGTGCGCCGCCTTTACATGGGAGTGGGGCGGTCCATGCTGCTGTATGGGGCCCCTGTCTGGGCCCCGGGCGCGATGGCAAGCCAGCGCATAAAGCAATTACTGTGCCGGCTTGAGAGGTGGATGGCCATCAGGGTCATCCGCGGATACCGCACCACATCCTATATGGCGCCGCAGGCTCTGGCGGGGGAAATTCCCTTCGAACTTCAGGGGTCTGCACGCGCGTCAATCTATGCGCGCATGCGGCCTACCCGCCTGGTTCGGGGCAAGCCACCGGAGCCAGAGACGGTCGAGGTGTTCGAACGCCAGGCCTGGCGTCTCGCGCTCGCAAAGTGGCGTTTGGAGTTAAGCTCCCATGCTAGCGAGCGCGACCCCAGGGCTCTCCTGCCGTACTTCAAAAGATGGCGGGAGAGGAGCTTTGGTAGGCTCACCTACCGAGCGACGCAGGTATTCACCGGACATGGTTGTTTCGCCGTCTACCTGCGTCGCATAGGACGGGAAACGATGGCAGCCTGTCACCACTGCCACGAGAAGGAGGAATCGGCGCAGCATACGCTGGAGGAATGCCCGGCTTTTTCATCGCCGCACCGGGTTCTAAGGACCCAAATCAGGCATGACCTCTCGCTCCAGGCAGTAATTGGGGCTATGCTGGTGAGCGAGAAGAACTGCAGGGCGAAGAGGTTATCTCGCAGAAGGAGGCCGCAGAGCGGGATCGGGAGACTACCGATCCCGCTCGACGGATCCGGGGGCGGCGGCGACCTGGCAGGGGTCGCGCCGTCGGGCCCCCGGGATAAGGATGGTGGCTGGCGGTGGGGACGATTAGAATGACCTCCGCCGCCAACTTCCCACCGAGGAGGTATGGTGGAGCGAGAGGGGGGCAGCAAGTTAAAGGTTGTCCCCCTGGCGGCCGCGGAACCTGGGGCGGGGGTCTTGGGTTCACTTTCATGCGGCCGCTGAGATGTAGTAGTACGTTGTGGAGGTTTAGGTGGGACAGGATATTTTGCTCTCTCTCGGGACGCGACCGGCCTTCAAGGCATAGATGGCCGGTCGGGGCCAGGGGGAGCCACAGAAGGAATTCGTAAGAATTACCTGCGGCTTTCGTCGACACGCCGAGTGTTGAAGAGCGTCCGAAGGTCGCCGTGGAAGTTTTAGCGGCTCGAACCCCGCACTACTCGCCTGATTGCTCTCCCGGGCATCAGACAGGTGTCTGGTTAGCAGATTTCCTCCATGTAAGAAAAAAAAGGCAGCGGTAGTACTTAAGCGGTCTCGCGGCCAGCACCACCACCCGGGCTGCGGACCACCCCACCCTTATGCTGCCCGCCTTCTGAACGGCGACAGTCACCGCGGCCGGGCATTGGACCCAAATGGTTCCCATTCCGATGGGGGGGATCTTAAGGGACCCCACCCTCACGGAATCTGGGGAACATTTCCCGACGGCTGCCATCGCTAGCGCCACCTCCTGGGGAGCTGACGGAGACGTCCAGTCCTGTCAGGCGGAATTCCGCTTTTTTGACGGGTCTGGACCCCTTCACGTTCACCCCCCCCCCCCCCCAGCATCGCCTTCATTTTATCCGGCATCGGCCCTGGCGGCACCCTCAGCACCGGGAACCTGAAAGATCAGGCCCCCGGTGACAGCCCTCTTCCGCGAGAGAGCCTCAATATCAAGTGCCGCCAGGTTAATGCCCCGGCGAGCCACTCGCACGGCCTCCTCGTAGGTCGCGTTGCTTTCCTCCGGAACGGTGATCGTCACCGCCGCCGTTCGCGGGGGAGGCGCTACGTGAGGAGGCCCGCTCTTTTGTTGCCCCTCTGTCGGTGCTTTTCCAGCCGTCTTCGTTGCGGCCAGGAGAGTGGCTACCGCGGAACTCTCCTTCTTCCTGGCTTTCCGGCCCAGGACCTGGGTCCATGCTTCCCCAGGCATGGCCGGAGCCACACGTGGTTCCCTCGGTGGAGGAGGCACAAGCGGCGGTCGAGGAGCAAGGGGATGAAGAAGAAGAGGAGCCTTCTTCTTCTTTTCCTTCTTCTTCTTCTTTCCCCCAACGGGTATCGCCGCAAATTTCGCGTTGATGTAGGCCCCGATCTGGTTCATCAGAGCGCCTGCCCCTCCTCCTCCCCCCGCCGAAAATGCGTCACACCGGCG